TTTCTGTTGATTTGGAATTTAGTAGCCAGGCACACACTATTTGTTGCTAGTTAAATTTAAGAGAGATAATGGGATGTGGAAGAATCTTTCAGATAGTTGGAATTTCAAAAACATACTTGGGAAGATGTTGCACATGACTTTTCTTGACCATTCTCTCTGGATTCTCTTAGTGTGAATCTTAAGTATCTGAAGATCCTGAAATAACACTTTACCCAATAGTCTTTGAGACATACTGGGTTGGCGTAGAAGATAAACCTATTTTCATTACGGACTTGCTTTGATCCAGGACTTTCAGCTATCATTTTCTTCCCATAAGGTGTAGGGATATATTTTCTATGTTATCCGATTAGTATCATGTATTTTGAACAAAGGGAAAAACTATGTCTGACATTTAACACAACATTTCCTATGGCCTAGCATTGTATTTTCCCAATATATTTGCCAAGACTTTTCAAGCCTCTTCATGAAGCAGACCTCAGCCAAGTTTCTTTGTCCTAGTAAAAACAATCAAGAATATACTGTAAAATGAAAAAGATACTTGATCATAAAAAAAAAAAAACAACAACCCACTGCTTTCCCTGAACACAATCAGAAGAATTCAAAGAGAACTTTTGATAAAGTATCCAAAATGATTATGAGGGAGTAAATAGCCATTAGAACATCAACATTTCTCTGAAGATAAAATTTGTTATTTCAAATCAAGGAAGGCATCCCATAAGTTCATGCTACTATGACAATTAAACTGTTGCTGCTTCCGAGAACACAGGCATGCCGCTGATTGTTCGTCTCAGTATCAGCCCCCTGAGGCCCAAGGCAGTCATTTCAGCACGCGGCAACATTAACCACGCACTACGTCGATTTTTACGATTTTTACCACTAGCAGTGAAGTGCTTCCTCATTATGGACCTCAAACGGAGCATGAAATGTACCCATTCACTCAGTAAATATTTATTGAGACCTATGCTGAGAATTGCTAGGAGAAAAAAAAAAATCTTGATTATATCCAGCTGCAACGATTTACTATGACTGTCACTGGATGGTCGGTGCACAACAGCATCATCTGATTCAACTAAGTTCTTAGCTGTATTTTAAATTATGCTTTATTATAAATTGTATTTTTATTTCTAAATTTTATTATAAATTAGCTTTTTAAATTCTACCAAGATACTAAAGAATTTAGAATTCTTCATTTTCATGGAGAATTTTTTCTAAGGGAGTTAAAGAGACATTTCCTTTGGCTTCAATTCTCTTCTTTGTGGAAGAAAATGATATAGTTTAAAGAACTAAAGCATTGACTTTGGTAGTATGTAATAAACTCCAAGTGAACACTGGTAGCCTGGAGCCTTAGTAGTGGTGAGGAGCTGAGCTGCCAACAGAAAGGCATGTGGCTTGAATCCACTAGCTGTTCCGTGGGAGAAAGATGGTCAGTCTTCCCTCCCCTACACTATTTTACAGCCTTTGGAAAGCTGCTGGAGGGTCAGCTATGAGTAATTTCCAACTCAACAGCATCTAATAGCCTATAAAGTCCAGAGAAAAGCATTGGATTTTCCAGTTGTTTTATCCAGACAATTAAAAACTTAATATAGTCCCAACTGATTTTAAAATACTGTAAACACTTGAGGCTCCCAGATAAGCTCCTGTTCATACCATGAATCTGGTTTTTTCCTACTCTTTTTGATGGCATCCCTGATGATTCTGATGATTAACATACATGACTGATCTCTCAGAAGTAAGTCACCAGATATTTCTTTCGAAAAGTTAATGTGCCTGTTGAGCATTAAGTATGTGAGCTCCAATCTACAGCCTTGCAGTGAGAAGCCAGCACAGTGACTGCATTACCCAGGCACTCCTTTCTGGAGCTCAGATGGCTCCTGAGTTGAAGTAAGGGGGCCAAGGCTTTGCTTCAGACAGTCATTAGACGTAACCACTCCCTTCCCCTCCCATGAGAAATCAATAAAGTCTTGTGGTTAAGCAGCTTCCTCCCACCATTACAATTCTCAAAGATATGCAACTAAAAGCACTCAGAAGCCAGTAGTCCTGACAGCTGGAAGAATGAGTGTCTTCCTTGAGTGCAGGCTCCTGGCCATTGTACCATAGCATCCACTAAACTACAGAGACCATCAGAGAGAGTAAAGGTAGTAAGTCCAGCTATAATATTTGAAATGATGGGCAGGAAAAAGCATTAAAGAGACTAATAAAAATAATATATACATTAGCCACTTTTATATAAAAAATGCAAAACTCTGTGACTGTCAACTTGCCTCTGACTCATAGCAACCCTGCAGAACTGCCCCAAAGGATTTGACTAAATGGTAAGCAGTTGCGTTACCAAACCATAGGTGCGTGGTTTGAATCTACCAGTTCCTCCATTGGAGAAAGATGGGAAATCTTCTCCCATGTAATTTACTGCCTCTGAAAACCTACCAGACGGCTATGGCTGTGGGTTGGTTCTGACTCGATAGCACACAACAATGACAATATCTCTAAAAAGTAGAGATACTGATATTCCAAGAGAATAACCAAAGTTCTGGTTAGTCATATAAATCTCTTGCAGGTTCTTTAAAATTTGAACTCCAACTCGGATCAAACTTTCTATCATAATGATAATTGTATATTTGTTGATTTGTCTTGAGCTTTTGACCTTCCCTAGAGTTGACTTATCTATCAGCTTATACTCTACCTCAATAGTAACTCTTGGCTTAAGTTTGGGAGTTTAATTTTGCACTCCCCAGACTATGTCATATTCCATTTGTTGTTGAAGAGATTGAAATTAAATTTCTTTCTTGAGATTATGTAACTTCTCTTTAGTCAGTATTATATGTATATTTTATATATTACGCAGCTTTGTATATTTTTTAAAAAACTAGTAAAATATTAATATTTTATCTATTCATTCTCGGAAATTACTAATAAATGTGATACAGTTCTCTGGATCACATTCAGGTCTTTTTGACTACTATAATATCTGATACTCATCCTTCTTGCAACAGCTTTGCCGAGGTACTAAGTGATGCTAAGACTTACCCAGTTCTCACTGATTTGCTCATGAGAATACCGTGTAACTCAGAAATATTACTAAAGCCCAGAATAATGATTTTAAAGTTTCTCCTTAGACTATATGCATAGTTTACCATGTTATTGAAGAAAAGCATTAAATTAACTCGATACTATTTTTTCTAAATAACATGACTTTGCTTTCTTTCCAGCCTGTGTTCTTTTAGGGCAATGCATTAAGTGGTGATGATTTGCTGTATCATCTTTAACACTATAGCTAGGATTGCCATCTTGGGTATACACATTTTAACATATCTCATCAACAGTGAGTTTGTTTTGAAGCATATCCTAAAATTAATCTCTCAAAGCCCTATTTATTTGAATGAATCTATATTGTTTAAGGGCACGTAGGCAATTTCCACATATGAAAGTTTTTTAAACTGTTATCTTGTTGATTTTCCAGTATATAAATCAGAGCAAGAATCAGTAAATATTTAAGATGTGACTGAACCAAGCTACGATATTTCCAATTTATTTATGTGAATTTGAACACTAGACAATGAATAAGGAAGACCAAAAAAATAATTGATGCTTTGGAATTGAGTTTCTGGTGATTAGCTTTGCATATGCCAAGTTTTTGTTGTTAAGGGCTGCTGAGTCGTAGGTGACTCATAGCGACACTATGAACAAAAGACCTGAACACTTGGATGACTTTCATTGTTTCTCCGGGTTCATAGGGTTTCCAGAGGCAAACTACTTCGGAAGCAGATGCCACTCCTGCTTCCAAACTTGTTTTAATTGGGGAGCTCTGTCAAACACTGTCCACCATGGGTAACGAGTATTACATTTGACACGTTAATGTCACAGTGTTCAGCTTCACAGCAACCACGAGTTACCTATGGACAGCAAGTGGACAGACCAGGGCTATATGACCTAGAAGAATGTTTCACCAAAAGCAATTAAAACCAGGCCTGAGGGCTGCAGATTAAAGTCACCCACCTTTGGCTTGGTAGCATCACTTTCTGTCCATTAGGCTAATTGAGCTCTCTCTGTGAATATATCATAGGATGCCAAAACAACAAACAAATCTGTTTTAGAAGCAGTATAGCCAGATTATTCCTTAGAGGCAAAGATGATATTTCATTTCACATACTTTGGGTTCATTGTCATGAAAGGACAAACCCTGGAGAAGGATATGTGCTTGAAAAAGGAGAAAGTCAGCAAAAGAAAGGAATAAGCTTAAGTATACCAGAGCATATCCCAGAACATTTAATTGTGCTAATGCGAAACCTGTACTTGGACCAAGAGGCAATAGTCAGAACACAGCAGGTTAACACTGCATGGTTCAATTGGGAAGGGTGTACGCCAGGGATGCATCCTGTCTCCATACCTTTTCAACATGTATGCAGAGCAGATTATCCGAGAGGCTGGGCTCTATG